TTCCATTTTATTCCATCTCGGCTGTTTAAATCAGTACAACTAAGCAGAAAACATACAATACATGGCAGGTTTTCAGAAAGTAGGAAATCAGTCGTTCATTTTACTGCAATGTGCAGTAGACATCACAAATGTTTGCCAACGTGTACATTCAGCGACAGAAGTGTGTGCAGACACATTTAGACCCTGTGTGGCCAGAATAATACTTTCGTATTATTTTATCACATCAAACAGCGTCACATATCAGGTAATCGAGCATTTGTATTTGTTTGAATGTGTTTCCTCCATGTTTAGGGAGCAAATAGTTGTATCTACTCTGCACGTGTGTGGGTTTTACTTCCCTGAACACTGGCTCCTGCTAAAGAAACATTGCAGCTAAACCAAGTGAAGCTTTACGTACAGAAACAAAAAGGGGAATTGTACTGTCAACCTCTCCACTATTATTACTGATATTATTCCTCTTTGTGCACGGCTATCAGGCACGGGATGCACAAAAAGTTGTTAGAGGGGAGAAAAGAGCTGTAACAAGAGATGACTCCTTAACATAAAGAACAAAGAGGCTTCATTACAGTAGCCAAGAGAGAGCAGAGGCTGTAATTATTTCTGTTGTTCATTGTCTGTGCTAGTCTTTACCAGCACTGATAATGAGGAACAAATACACAAATACAACAGTCAGTGTAGCCTTATCAGTCTTCAGCCTCACATTTCCTCCCTGTCTTAATCTTTTGCCTGCAAAAACCAAGAGGTAAGACAAACATTTTTAAGTAACCAGTCCAGATCAGGGGTTTAATGGCTTGCACTTTGTATAATTATGACCATAACTTGTGCTTTGTTCTGTTGACACCTTTGTTTTCATGTCTGTCAACATTTTCCCATTAACACAGCCTCGAATATGTAGTAACAGGTTTTCACTCTGCTGTTAACAAATGATCCAAGTGAAAAATCACAACCGGTTTCCAGGCTGCTGAATTAAACCCAAAGCTGCAGTGTGAGCCTCCTGGCTGTGAGGAGCAATGGCATCATCAGTGAAGTGGTAAAACCGTGCTGTGGAAGTTGGGCCCGACTTCCTGAATTGTACAGTTTCAGATGAGTTTTCACATGCGAGTGTTTGCTGACAGTAACTTCCCACGTGTCCTGAATGCAGCATGAGGGGCAGGGGAGAGGGCAGCATCCAGCAGGCCAGGCGGGTGTCAGACGAGGACATTTGAATCCCAGCTGGAAAAGGGGCAGTTAGTTGCAGCTGACCTCCACCTCCCCACTGGGGAGGGACTGGCAGCTCCGAGCGGAGGAAGCTGAAGGTCAGCCCAGTGTAATGAAGGATAAGCAGGATGACAAGGGAGAGAGGCCGTCTTCTAAAGGACTAATCCGCTGTCAGGTCACATTCATTTGTTAGATGTGGTGATTTGTAATTATCCTTCTGTTGGTGAATCTGTTTGCTCATTTCTACTACATTAAGTCTGTTTGTCAGAATGTCCATTTCATTCATTCTGGTTGTTTATTTTAGGGCTAAGGTCCAATGCAGAGAAAAAACCTGGGTCTCCCTCCTCCAATTCCTCTCCCTCTCACTATGGGAACCACAGGGCCTCCTGGGGTGGACTTCCCAGTAGAAAAAGGCTTTACTGTATTTGTTTTTGTTCCCCAGACAGTTTCCCTTGGTGTGTACAGACTTCCTCCCCCTGTGTCTTCTACTGTGTCTGCTCGCAGCAGCCCACAGTGACATGCTGGTGCACATCATCCTGTCATAGAAATACCGGCCAGCGTAATAAGAAGTGTGCTTGTGGAGCATTCTGGGATTCCAGTCAAGCCATTACGAACCCCAGAGGCCCGGAGAGGAAGCTGGAGAATGGCTGGAGTCAAATATTTCCTGTAGAAGGCTGAAAAACGGGCTAAAAGAAAGGAGCATAACTGCTGGTATTTGAACAATGTGAGGTCCAAAGTATCTAAGGTGAAAACTGCTCATAGCTTGTGCACACATCAGTGTCCTTACAATAGTGACATTACAAAAACAAAGTTAGGACAGTTATAGTTCTGTCGTTAAATAAGGCCTTTTTTACAGCACATATTTTTGAGTATCACACTACTCATCCTCCCTGGGAAAGCCTGTCCCAGGCTGATGGAAAGGAGGCTCTGTCCATTTGTCAAACCTCCGATTCTAGAGGAATAATGGGGATTCTGTCCTGGTCATGGAACAGTGAACCAACTCTGTACTCTTGGTTACTGGAGGGTTCTTGGGAGTTTGTCCATGCGGTCTACATGTGCTTTGTCGACTCAGACGAGCTGGAAAACATCGCTGGGGAGAGGGACGTCTGGACCACCTTGCTGAACCTGTCGCCACTGCGACCTGATCTCAGATAAGTGGAAGAAGATGGACGGATGGATATTTTAAGTAGGAACATGTCATGCCAAAATGTGGAATGAATTTGAGCCACTTTTTTTACATGGACCGCTGCAAGATTTTGTACAGATGTTCATAAAATTTGAGTTGCCATCTAATGAGTGTTAGCATGCTAAGGTGGTGAATGTGGTTAACAACCTGCTAAACATCAGGATGCCATTACTGTCATTATGAGCATGTTGGCACGCTTTTGATAAAGCTTAGTGGACCAGTAGCACACAATACAGTTTTCTGACATTTTTGACAAGGTGCCCTACTTGGATCATTCCCGTTGTGGGTGTACCAGCTGACTCAGCTGACTGCTTGCTAGCTGTTTGCCTTGCTGCTTGTTGGTAGAATTCATGGTACGACTCCAGCACTACCTGCATGCTATAATCAACATAAACAAAACATGACCTCACTTAATTGAGCATGTTCCAGCTTTATTACTGCACGTCCGATGTTTGGCTCCTCTCATGGATGGCAGAATCAGGAAGTGTGTTTATGTGCGTTAGTGGTGTGTGACAGTAAATGGTGGAAGCTACTGTGGAAAATGTTGAATTCCTCAGTTACATAGAGAAGTAAGACATACAGTATCTGTTTACTGTGTGCGTCATCAGCACAGTACCAAAAGCCACTGACACTCGCACCGTGATAGCAAACAGAAAACCTTTGTGTACCTCAGTCGCGTCTCTGTCACAGCAGCTGTCAGTTTAAAGCAGCTCCTCTCATCAGCCTGCTTCGTGTAGATACTCACAGACACATTATTCTCTAATGCTGAGGGCAGGCTGACATGCTGGCTGTTTTACACTGAAGTGTGCCTGCTGGCCTTGGAGAGCTTTCTCTGGAGGGTGTGGGATGAGAAGTGTGTGCATTGTCCACGTCAGCTCTTAGCCCTGACACACTGAGGGAGAGTAACACAAAGCAAGTGTGTGATGACAGAATAATCCAATATATGTGCAGCAACAGTAGTTTGAGCAACGTGCAGGCTACGGTATCTGCACCTTGGGAAAGTCTTGGAAAGCACTGAATACACTTTACTTAAAAGTGCACGAGGAGGTATTAAAAGGTTTTCTGTTCCATTTATACATGACTTACTCTTGATACTTCCTCTTTCCTGCTGGAGACAGTGAAGTTAGAAATTGTTTATATAGACATCTGTAATCTAAAGGTGGGATTGTTGTGACGGTGGGTTTCACTGCAGGAGCTGTTCAGCCTTTTTTTGTAGTTTTGGTGAGCACCATTAGCATTAACACAATACAGATAGATCTATCTGTCCTCTCTTGATTACGTTTGAATTAAATCTAATGGTCTACATTGATTAACCCCAGTGCACGTTAACGTTGCTGAGACTGTATTTGCTTCATAGTCTTTCTAAAGTTGTTAGTGTGGTCGTTAGTAGTGTGTCCACCTTTTGGACAACCTCCACACTCGTATGGAATGCAGTGAAGTTTGGTAACGACATACGAGGCCCACCAAGAATTAATTTTCCATTCATTTTGGTTTTTACCCTCACTTAGGTGTTAGCTTAGCTTTGTCAAAAAATACTTGTTATGGGTGTGATGATACCCTCAGCTCATGATACGTGATGATAAACGACGACGAGGCAATATTTTAACACTGTTTCTTCAGTGATGAAATATACGACTGGAAAAAGTCATTCCACTGAAGGTCTCAAAATGCAAAACAGTGCAGGTGCATTTGGAAATGTTTTAACTAATCATCTTGGAACGAATGTCACTTCGGTCCTACTTTGTGAGTATGAACTATCACATGCAGTAAAAGACAATATCCAAGCACTATAAAAGGTTTGGCCACAGACTCAGCTGACCGGCTTCTCTCCTGTAGGATTTCATGAGTCTCTGACCTTATAACTGTGTATTAACTATGCATGAGCTTCTAACTGAAGTTGTGTTCTATGCTATTTTGTCTCTTACTGCACCAGGCAGTGACATTATCTGGCAAAAGTGCAGCGTTGATCAATCGCCAACAGGGTCGATCAGGATGTGGACGCCCAAGAGAAGAAGACTCTTGTTTATCTTGTTAGCATGAGAATTCACTGCTAATGATTGTTGAATGAGGGCCACAGTTAACGCATCATAACGACACACCATGCATTTTCATTAGTACTGGATGTTAAACGGTGTTTTATTTTATCTATCAGTGTCGACACACTGGTGGTAGAGCAGGCTACGTTAGCAGCATGGCTAACCAAAACACAGCGGAAACTCCTGGGGCTGGAAACATGAATGAAGCCACTCATGTCAACTCGCCATATTGTATACACCTACAACAACCCCCCCCCGAATCATATTGTCATGTTTTAATGTTGCGAGATCTTATGGCATGAGATCTCATCACACCCCTAAATTTGAATAAACCAAAAACATGAACAAGCTGCTGTTGTTTTTTGCTGTTTAATCTGTGTTGGAACCTTTACTGGTAGACGTCCACAATCACGACCTGACCGTGACATGACCGCTACACACACATGGTGTGTTGACATAAGCTGTCAGGGATACCAAAGTCTAACTTTGATTGATCGCTGTGTGCTTGCAGCTCATTGAAGACAGTGACACATCTTGTCCAAACTCACTGATCTTTGTTTTTTCTTCTGTTTACTCACCAGAGTCTGACACTGAGCCAGATGCAGCAGTGAAACTTGACCAGGAGCGGGCTGAGATAGTCGCCAAGTATGACAAGGTAAGATCTCCCTCTAGTTAATGGTAAACATACTGCTGGCCTGCAGTTGTACAGTAGTTTTTCTTGTGGTCATTCTCAGCCATATTTCAGCCACTGGCTCATGATGAGACTCTGCCAAACTTCATTACACTGGTGACATCTCTTTATGGAAATGACTGCTTTATTGCCCATGAAACACAATAATAACAGCATGTGGTGCACAGAATCTGCTGTACTGTGTTTGAAACAGTTTCATAAATTTAGCAAGGCTGTGATTACCCTGTAAGGGCCACATCACAGATGCAGTTTGCTCAGCTAAAGCTCACTAACAGCCAATAAAGATTAACATTTAAACTGAGTGTCATCCATTTAAAAGTCAGCCGGATGAATCACAGTGTGGATGCTCAGTGGACTGCATATTAATTGTCAGAAGGGAAGAGGGACACAAAAATCTCTCCTGCAGAGCTTTTACCAGAGGAAGGAAACAGAAGAGAGTTATTCATTAAATTAAAAGGGCAGGGTTAATGTGATGTCATGTGACAGCTGGCAGGTTACTTAACACTTAGCTGCAGACAAACTTCCTTTATCCAGTGTTGTTTTCCACTTAAAGCCAACTTTGGCTCATCACGTTTTCTACTGTATGTATGGGTCCGATCCTGAGTGACACCTCTATTTCTCAGCCTGGCAGTGTCAGTCAGACCAGCCCACGACACTCCGTTTTTAAATTAGTCTCTTTAATTGAGTCCAGCAGGCTGCATAATCAGGCTGCCTCATTAGGAGTGGAGAGAGCGTGGAGAGCGGAGATGATGGAGGCGTGCGTGCGAGTGTTCGCCGAGGCGGAATAAGGCACAATCACTGCGAAATCAGTGTCGTTGGGAATGGGAGGACTTTACTGGTGTCGGTTATCAGGCCGACCACACACACTCGCTTCTCATTGTTTGTGGATGTTAACACTTTCTTGTCTTTGCAGAATGTGCACAGTTTTCTTTCCAGGTGACACATCAACTCACTGCTGCCTGTTTATACAGCTGCACTGATCTCAGTACTTGTACAGCGGAAGCCGCTGATAGCAGATATTTGGAGTCAGTATTTAATTTATACCCTCTTAATGCTCGGAATCCAAAATATCTCATCCGAATCAGTTGAAGCCTATTTCTTTGTATAGGCAGCCCGATGTAACATTTAGAAGTTCTGTGTTCTGTCGTGCTAGTAGCAGTATCTGTCAGTCTGTCACTGTGGTCCAGACGCAAGTATCTTACCAATTATTAGATGCACTTGCTGGCCACTTTATTAGGTACACCTGTACAGTTGTATGCACTTCAGTGCAACACTCCCGTCCTAACATCTGAAGCTCAAAATGTTTGTTTTTCTTGAAACTGTCATAAATGTGTAAATTCAATTCTATGTTTATTATTGAGGTCCTAGTTAAAGGTGGTTTTGTAGTGGACTGCATTATATTCAGAGGTGTCTATATTTTTGTCCTCCCCAGCTACATACATGAGATGGTCAGAATATTAGGAACACCTCTGAGTATAATGTTCTGCTAATGTTATCCTAACTCAGTTTACAATCTTAGCTTTCCACCTACCCATCTGTTAACCTTTGCAAAGGACTTAAAAGAATGCTTCTTGCTTGATGAACTAGCCAGACATAGGAAGATCTCTGTGATACAGGGATGCTCCATCTATGATCTAACATAGCATAGACTTGGGTACTGCATATTTAGTGAAACTCAAAAGGCATCACAAGCTTTTTGCAAACTTTACAGTGAGAAATTTTACTGGCGTACAGGTTGGCAGGTCTGACTTATGTTCCCCTCGTAGTATATTTGTTGACCTCTTCACTTTTCAAACGGTCAGCCTGGTGATTCTTGTCCAGCCCAGCATTATCAATGAGGCAAGGCTGAAGTCTGTCAGAGTAGCATGGCTGTGGACTCACTCTTAGATCTCGCTCAGTTTTCTTACTGTAGGTCCAAATATTGCTGTTTGTGTTAGAAAATATGCTTGCAACATCTATGAAATGGTTATAAAGAGTTTTTTAAGTCACAATAAACCAGATTTCTTAAAAGTGGCTAATTCCATTGGCAAGAAAAAGTCCTGGCGCTATTTGCAGTTTCCTGGTTATCTGCATAAATTGCTCATGAAATGTGATCTGATCTTCACCAAAGTCACAAATACCAACAACACAATATTTCTAAGCTAATAAAACACAAAGTCATGGTCTGTCATGTCTTTATTGAACACACCCATCAAAGTGATGGTGGAAAAGGTCATGGCAACACCAGGCTTCTGACATCACTAAACGTCAACTGGAGTCAGGTGTTAGCAAACCTGGAGTCCAGTCAATGAAACGAGAACCGAGGTGTGGTTTAGGACTTATAAAAACACTCAGTGTCAGTGTCCTGTTCACAAGAAGCACCAGCTGATGTGAGCCAGGCACTCCAAAAAAGATTTCAGAAGAGCTACTAGCATGTTGCATGTAGCTGGAAAGGTTCACAGAGTCGTCTGAAAGACTTCAGACCTTCATCAGTCCACAGTCAGACATACATGGAGACGACTTGGTGCTGTGGCTACTCTCCATAGAACTGTGCGCCCAGCCAAGATCACTCTAAAGGCAGAGTAATAGAGTAACAGCTGAAGACTTGAAGGATTCATTGGAGCTGGTTAACATCTCTGTTCATGAGTCAACCATATGCAAAGTACTGAACAGCCCTGGTATCCATGGCAGGACACCATGGAGGAAGCCACCGTTCTACAAAAACAACACTGCAACACACCTGAAGTTTGCCAAAGACCAGCCTGACCCTCCACAACACTACTGGGAAAATGTCCTGTGGACAGATGAAACGAAGGTACAACTGTCTGGAAGAACTTGCAGCACTACGTACGGCGTAAAAAAGAGAACCAACATGAAAACATCATCCCGACAGTGAGGTACGGTGGAAGAGCATCATGATGTGCGGCTGCTTTGCTTGGTGTTCTTCACTCTGTGAACACACACATAGAGTGAGCTGGGGTCTGTTTGTGTTTGAGCTATTTATTTAACTGGTGTGTTTGTGCTGGCAGCACATTTGAAAGATTCCACCTCAACATCTGGTCATGAGACTGACCTGTGAAGCCACAGACAGCCTTGTTAAATATTTTTGGTGGAAAGTGGCAGGAAAGTCGTATTGCAGGGAGGGATGGAGGATCACTGATGTCCGTCTCTCCAGAGAACTCAGATTTCCAGACAAAGCTTTGGTCACATTCATATGTTTGTACCATTTGCTTTGATTAATTTTTTTAGACATGAGTCTCCCAGCAGGACCTACAGTTGGGAGCTTATTTAGAAGTCACTTATTTATTTGTTGAAATGAGGTTGTTTCTATGTAATCCATATGGAGCAAATGTAGATTCTAAATCTTTTCTTTTGTGTAATTCAGAATTTTTATCTTTGTGTTGTATGGAGGTTTTCACTGTCTGTATAATTTTTCAAATAAAAGAATAAATAAACAACGAATGCAGTTTTCCTGTAATTGCTTTGTAGTTGTTCAACACAATGAGGTTGATTTACTTGGATTCACACTTGTAACAGCAGCTAAACCTGTCTATGCAAATGACAACACCCAAGCAAGAAAGTCAATATGTCTTTGTCCAAGTAACTAGAAGACTCATTTTCTCAGATGAGGGTTTCAACTGTGAGAAGGCACGGGAGTGCGAGTTGTTGAAGTGGAGATGCCAAGGACAGTGGACAGAAATTAGTTGTTGTGGTTTAGCTGATGACTGGCCGCTCACCAACAAGGTCTATAGCCGAAGCAGCAGTTTGAACTCTCAGCCAAATTCAGCCACAGCTGATCACAAACTAGAGTCAGGCACCTTTTGATTCAGTGCAACTTACGCTTCCTTAGGACGTCGTTCACATGATGAGGTTTCAAAGAGTTTCCTTCAGTATCGAAGTAATCAAGTGATAGTTGTCTGTACATCCACTGGCATATGGCAAACAGCTATTTCACATTTTAATAATGCCATTTTACCAACATGTAATCCAGCACTAATTAAACAATATATTTGTGCTGTTCACAGTCCATGTCCTGAACATTGTACGTATAATTATTTTTGTTAGGCTGACCCTTTTATTTCAAAGATCAACTGGATGTAAGTGCAGATGGAGCTTTTACGTACTTTTGTATTTTATAGTGTGAGCTGTACATTGACTTTCACCTTGTCCTCTGTTCTTCCTTCACTTTCTCACTCACACTTGGATATTTTCTCCCTGCCCCTGCTTTTCTCCACATAATCCTTCTTCACACACACTCGCACACTCATTGGTCCATGAATTAACTTTCATGAGGCCTGAAGTCAGACGGTGATGCAGGTGGGCGTCTGGCTGTTCATTTCATACCTGTTAACGGCTGCTCACTTTCTCTGAGGCTAATAAATACACACTCAACTTGTCACCTTCCCAAGGACGTCGGAGTCATGGCTCCCCTCGTAATCTAGCAGCCAATCAGAACATGATTTTCTGCCTCTGAAGAACGTGCATGGAGCTCATTCAGACCCTAGTGATTAGGTCATTTCAGCGCACAACCAGCAGCAGACAAGCTGCAGGGCTGTAACTACTGACTGTTGTCACTGTAGATGAAGTTCCCTGTTATTTTTCAGGTTAACTGAGTCATAGTTTAGTCTGTAAAGTGTCAGGAAAATGCTCAGAAATGTCAGTTACATTATCCTAAAATCCAGGGTGATGCCCACACCAAGTCAGTTATCATCTAATTTTGTAGTTACTTTCAGAAATCTAGTTTCAGGTTTATTTTTTCTTTTTTTTGATTGTTAATTTTCAGTGCACGTTAATCGGTGTTGTTGTGAATGTAGCTAGTGGCTTTTGGCCATGATGCGCTTCACAGTTTGCTGTTGCTCTCATGGTGATGCTGATGATGACACAGATCTCATGGGACAAACCCATCGAAATCACCGTCTGTTCTCTTTCTGTCAGTATGTGCACACAGGTGAGTTTTCAGTGTTGCTCATGGTTTCCCCCACTCCTACTTATTTCAGGGCAAAGAGGCCATCGTGGAGCCCTGGGAGGACACCAACTTCCACCTGTACAAAGTCATCGACCGCTTTGGCTTCGTCCAGTAAGAACACACACAGAACAGCATCACTGGCTGTTATCATTCCAAATAAGTGTATTAATAATTTCCAAAGTGCAGCTCGAACAGTAGTAGTACTGTCGTATTGGGGGGAGAAGATCCGAGGTGTCGAAGGCAGCGTGCGTTTGTGGCTGGTTAGGAGGCTGCGAGGCTCTTAAACAGCGCAAAAAATATATAGGCAGGCAGGAAACAGCTTGGAGTGGTACAGTCCAGACCGTAGGTGGGAGAGATGGGAGGAGGGTGGAGGACAGAAATGTCTTGGTTCTGTGATTGTAGAAGACAGGGCCAGAAGCATTCTGGGTAGGACAAGAATGTAAAGGCCAGTGTGCACACATTAGTGGACCACGATTTGTTCACTGTGAAAGCCAGTGTTGTTGTGGACAAGAGAACTGGTCTCCAGTCAACCGCAGAGCCCCAATCAACACCAACCCAGTATTTCATTTGCTGATCCAATTACATCAAATCAGAAATGCATCATTTGCAGAGCAGCAATGAATCCATACTTCATGATAGGAACCAGAGCTCAGCAGGACTGTTTACTGCAGTAATGAATGGGTGTATTAGCCAGGTTTCCATTGTACAGTATGCAGGCCAAAGGCTGATTGATATGTAGTCATCATTCATTTGCTATTGAAGAACATCCCGTATGTTGTATTGTTTTCCTCTTCTGCTTTTTCTTTTATGCAGTAAGATCTCAGACATGTTGGATCAGAAAAAATGGAACCAGTAGCCCAGCTGTTACTTTTCAGTTTCAGTTAAGGAGAAAACAGCACGGTCGAAAACGGGTCGTTTTCAGTGCAGATGTACAAGAGATGAAACCAGAATATTTGTTGCATTAGTCTCAAAGGAAAAGGCTCCACTGCTGCAGAGACTTTGAAACACAGATAAACAGAGCTGAAATTGAGGCATGTCTAATCTGTTATTTCCTGTTTGTGTGGTCGCTGAATTTCTTGATGTTCCCTCGTTCTGAGTCCAGTCGGACAGTGAGATAAGCACTGACCTGGACATCGCTGCCGTTTCATCAGCCTGTGTTTTCTAAAAATAAAGAAATTAGTGCCTGTCACACACAGGCAGGGGCGGCTAAACAGTGATTGATCATGCATATATGACAGCAAGGACACAAGAAAAACAATGCTTAGTGAGAATGCAAGACTGTTTATGTCTTCATTTCTCTAATTGCTCTTCTCTCCTCAGTGAGGATGAACTTCCATCCTACGACATGGTGGAGGAGCGGGTGAGTGACCTGACTTCTCTTTAACCTCTGGGGAAAAAAACTCCTCCATGTTTCATAATTCAGTAGTTTATGGCCCTAGTTTAATTCTGATAATTCCAGGAATTAAACTTTGCAGCTGTGCCACAGACCTCTACTGTCAAAAAGCCCTATTGTGTGTTTTTAATCGTTTTTGAACAATAGCGGAGGTCTATGGCACAGATGAATAAGATAATCCAGGATATTAAGAGTGGGTAAAGGTAAACCGTTGTTTTGGTCTCTGTATGGAGAGGGTTTCAAATACTGAAATATAGAAAAGATGCTCTTGACAGGGAGCGCTCACTCTAAAGTGCTCTTCCTAAAACTCTCTAACACTGAATGTTCTTGGGGAGACAGGGCCCTGGATTGTTCCTGATAGGAGTGATATTGAAAATCAACCACTGAGTGTTTGTCTTTGACTCATCGAGCTAATTAAATTCATTCCAAGTTTTGTCACACTGATGCAAACACCATATGATTTCAGATCTAGCCATAGAACCAGCCCAGCTCGTTCCTTTGCTCTTGTAGAGATCCTACAGTGTTGGCCATCTTATGAACAAAACAGTCAAACCTGAGCTCCCAAAAAAAGTTCCTGTAAAAGTTCCTGAAGGGGGCTATTAGAGAGAACAAATAACTACAGCTGACACATAAATAGACCTGTAGCTGCTATTTCTGTTCAGGTTCCTCCTCCCAGAAATATTCCGGAGCCTTCTCCCTCATTGCTGTTCAGTGAGCAGGAACCAGAAGACTCAAGCATCAGCTTTTGAGGAACAGTTATAACTTAAAAATGGCTGCCGCTGCCTTTCACTTCAGAGCAGCTTGTTCTTGTCGGTTGTTTCTCACTAAAAATAGACATAGTTTCTATCATGCTACACACACGTCTTTCCCAGAATATTTCCAAAATGTCATGTTGTCTATCTGTCTTTACAACCTTCCATGGAGGTGTGTTCACATGATCAGTGTTGCATTCAGGTCCCATGGGAAATCTTAGTCCGTGACTTTTTTTTTTTTTGTGATACTGCAGTGCAGCTCATACAACAGACAAAACAGAACACAACCTCTCATCAGAGTTGTCTGCAAACCACCTCCTTCATGAGCTCCTCCCGGAAGCTTCAAATGACTGAACACACAAACTGATCACTCCTTTTTAACCGTCATGTCCTTCTCACTTTGATTCCCATCGGACATGAATACAGCCACAGTAAAACCGGCAGACAGGAAGTGATTAACGTGCCCCTGCTTGTTTCCACACAGCAAAAACAGACAGAGGTGGAGAGGACCAGCAAGTGGCTGAAGATGCTGAAGAGCTGGGACAAGTACAAGAACAGCGAGAAGGTGCTCTCCTGTTTCTCTCTTCACCCTTTCACACTCGCCTCCATCTGCCCATCACACTTGGTTTCTCTCACTTCGATTTGTCATTGGTAAATGTTAGAATTGAACTGATGGTTGCAGTTCTAGTTTACACATTTAGCTTCTAAAGGCCTTTTCTTTCCCCCCTGTGGGTCATAAAACCAAAACAGCTAAAAGAGGCTCAAAGACTCAAACAGCTGAGAGGGACTGAAGCTGGGTGATAATTAGGTCTTTCATATTACACTGGACTTTTGTGCATTAGAAGCGTTTTCTAATAGAAAAGAATCCAACAGAACAGCATGAACCTGCTGGCTCAGGTTGCCAGACTAACCTGGTGTTAATGTAAAAACACTGATTGGTTTGTGAAATAACCACAGTGAAACAGTTCTAACGTTTATCTGTTAGTATCGGCCTCACAGAGTTCATACTGGTCGTCTTCTGCTGCAGTCGTCCTGTCACTAACAGGTGCAGAGGAGCGTCTCTGCCGGTCTGCCCCCCACTGGGACACTAGAGGGGGGCAGTTAGCAGCGGTACTTCACCATGTCCTTCATTTGTATGTTTGGTTTCAGCTGACATTTACTGAAATGTTTGCTGCTAGTAACATCCAAGGACTCAGAGGATCATCACACCACTGCTTCTCTTTCTGCTTTAAAGCTTCAGGGGTGTTTCTTTTCACCTTTGTCAGTCAGCAGTGTGTTTTCAGCTTAGCAAGGAAACAGGTCACGCTTGATATGTCTGTTGTTTTTTTTCCTGCT